TCCTATATTAATTGGAACTAATTACATATTATTTATGGCAAACATTCCTGTGGGTTGGTGTAGAAGTAATCCTCTTCTTTTGGTCTACCAGGAATCCGCACCCGATCAATAGGGCCTCCCATACGATTTGCATGAGCGGCCTTCATCGATTCAGCAAATTCCTTCCAGCTAAGTGTTCCATTCTTGTATTGGTCTATGAGAGTCACCACCATTAATCTATCCAGACTGATGGTTACCTTGTATCCCAAGTATCTCCGATGCCCCTCCACCACTTTGGCCATGTTCCCTCCGTAGGTGGCCATGAAAATATCACTATACAAGGAAACCAGATAGTCCAACGCTGCCATCTGATTGGAATGATTTTGGAATGGCTTCAGCTCCGATGTCCTTGCCAGTAACGTTTCTTTCTTCACTAGATTTGGATAAAATGCTCTTAGACCTGCCAGTTTCTTCTCTCCCCCATATATATCTCCAGCTGCAATGTATATTTGGATGTTTGGATTGATATTGAATGCTCTCAAGGTTAGTGCTGTTTCCTCTGGTGTCATAGGGCACAACCCCGCTTCTCTTTTCTGTTTGGGATCGATTTCTTTCTCTTTCCACCATGGGATTCGATATCTGCACGCATATGTATATGTATCTTAATATCTCTATTTAATTACTTTCTCTATTTCAAAACATTAAATACTCATATATTGCAAATACAAAATGATGACTGACCTGAGATTGGTAAGTTCTGCTACCTCCTGCTCGTTACAGCCCTCGGTACAGCCAGAAAATGCTAGCATGTCCATTTCGTATCGGAGATGAAGTACTACGAAAGGGCCGTTTTCCCTGAGAAGGGCCATAATCTTTTGAGCCACCCGCTGGATCGGAGCAGTGAATCGGAGAGCATCATAATTGACCCGACACCGCAGCTTCTGGACCTCATCAGGAATGCCATTGTTAGCTAGCCTACTGTCGGTCTTGCTGAAATGCACCACTTGGTATTTTATAAAACGGGGAAGCACCTGCTCATGATTCCCATGCGTATAATCAATTATGCATCGTAAAAGATATACGTGTATTGATGTACTTACTTCAACACATCTGGGCTTGTTAGGCTTAATTACGCACCCTGTTGTAGTAATATGACATGTTAGACCAACTAGCAGGAGGCATGGAATAGAGTGAGTCTCTCTCCACTTTCTTCTTGAGCCGAGGAGGCAACTTTTTTACTATGCGAACCTCATCCCTCAAAGACTGAATAAAATAATTCATATCAAATATGTCTTGGAACTCACTGTGATCGTTCCAGAACGATGTTTTGTCCAATTTAGGAATCACAAGTGTGACATTCAAATACCTTGCTATTGTAACCATGTCACAAATCTGCAGATTAATTGATACTTGTTACTACAAGTATACTTAATTTGACATGCGTGGCATTTAAATACACAAATTAAGCAATACTAATTTGCTTACACCCGATCTCATTTGATTTAATCCTCCATTGGATGAAACCATCAGATATCCTTGGTTCTTGTAAAGCCCTACATATACAAAATTAATATTACTTGATGGAGTAGCTAGCAAATTGATGTGAAAAGATTAACAGCTTTTCTTGCTTCAAATTATGCACATATTAAAAATGTAGTTAGTACTCTCTTTAATAATTATTTTATGGAAAAAAATAAAAATATTAATTTTGATTTAATCAATTAACTAATTAAAATTATTTACGTATTAATAGTATTAAAAAATTATTAATTTTTATGATTTTTTATGTAAATTAGTTATAAAAAATTACATTCATTATTCTGTAAACTCTACCCTCAAGACACATATTAAACAAAACCCAAAGATTAATAATAACTTACTTGGAGGTGGAAAAAGATCTTGGGAATTAGGTTGATTATTGTCATACTTGATAGGGGTTGGCCCCATACGCATCCTTGCTAATTGCAATGCAAAAACCCAAAACAGAATCATCATGGTGATGATTCCTAATGCCCATAATTTGAATTGATCCCATCCCAACTTGTCCATTTTCATCACCCCAACAAACCAACTCTTCATTTCTTTACTAACCTCTTCCTTCATCTCTACGGCCACAAATTCATCATCTTCATTGCAAAGCTTGCCGTTCTCCATCTCACAAATTCACCGGGGATGCCTTAATTCGGAGCAACACCAACCGCCCTGAGGGGGAGGCATAAGTGTATGTATACAAACACTAATTAAAGGAAAGGGAAAACACATTTATGGTAATATTTTCATAACACATTAATTGGCATCCTTTTCTTTAGAAATTAAATTTATGAAAATTTCCACGTTTCTTTCATTTGATTTCCCTGCGAAAGAAAAGTGAGAAGGTGCCATTAATCACAACTTAACGTCTTAATTTCTTTTTGGTGTTCATCACTTAATTGCTATTTAATTGAGACGTGTGATATAATCCAATATTATTTTGGTTAACATCATCCAATAATGGTACAATTGAAAGGGAGGTGGAAAGCAATAAATTAGAGATAAGGATGGGAAGTTAATTTGTGTGATAATGAGATAAATTATATTAAGGTCTTTTTAGAATTAAAATCATGAAAAATAGACCTTTACAGTGGATAATTTTTAGTACAAACTATAAATTAAAAAATAATTTAAATAACTCATAAATTATAACGTGTTAATTTAAGTTCAGCTTAAACTTACTTTAAACTTAAATAAACTTAAATATTCTGAAACTCTTGGGCTTAAAAATGGAAAATTGTAGGTATTTTTTGTTTTTTTGAACTAATTCAAAATGAAAATTGGAGGCCCAATTTAGTTTGGGTAATTTTCAAGCATTTAGGTTAGGGGTACCGATTTGAGCAACGCAGCGACAGGTGACGGACGACGGCCGACCGCCGGCGGGAAGAATGAGCATCTCAAGGTTAATAATTCAACGTAGCTCTCTCTTCTTTTCTCTCTTCTCTGCTGCTAAAAGACTTGCTCCTTTACCTCTTAACTTCTCTTATCTTTCTCTTCCTCGTTTCATTGACTCTTCACCGGAACCCTCCTCCTTTTCTTCTCCATTTTTTCACTCTGCCTGCCTCTTGAGCACCCAGACCCCGGATGAAGACAACAAAGAGGAAGCCCAGGGTCCATTTCACTGTAAAGTTTTCTTTCTTCTTTCTTTCAAAAATTGTTAAATTTAAATGGGTATGTCCATTTATTATGCAGATCAAGTGTTTGATAAAAGTTCTCAACTAAAACTTCTTTGCTTGACTGATTCGCTGTTTATTGAGTATATAGTATATACTATTTGATTGTACACTGCTATACATTCAATTCTTTCTTTATTCCTCTGGAATGATCGAGGTTAAAATGCTTGTTGCTTTCTTTCTTTGTTGACTTCATGAAATCATGAATTCTAACGTGTATAACTTTGACCCATTTCTTTGATTATGTGCTCAAGGAAGAAAATTTGGGTGAATCTTTGTCACGGAAGTTTGCCCATGTATGATGTTTTCATAATAATCTTTTACTTACCTGGGCAGTGGCATCAAATTTGTATTTGTTAGTTGGAAATTTTCTTGTTCTTTGTTAATTTTCTTTTCAGTAATTAACTTCTGACTTAGTTGGGAATTGGATTTGATCCTTTATCTTTGCTGATTCCTTTATTAATTCCTCGTTTCTTGTAAATTGATTGTCTTCACTTCTTGGTGCTTCTGATATAAAATTCGATGCTTTCTTTGCTCAAATGCATTTCGAATTTGCAGACCAAACTGATGAATCAGGGGGAGACATTACAGATGATTGGGAAGAAGAGGATGAAGCTGAACCCAAGGTAGACTACATTCAGTTTCCTCAGATTTCTTGTCGGCTATCAAATATAAATGTGTCATTCATTTAGTTTATTTTTGTTTATATAGCTTGGTGATGGAGGAGATGGTGGTGGAGTTGTATTACAAGGTGTTCCTTGGGGTGACCACGTGCTGTTGATTGCCTATGAGGTCTTGAAGCAGTTTGGGGATGACTTGAAACTCTATGCTTTCAAGACATCTCCTCGAGGATACATTTATGTGCGACTGGACAAAGTGTCAACTGAGTAAGATTTCTACCAAGGTTACATGTCTAATTATATCAAAAGCACTTTCCTTTCACATGACTTATTGGAGAATACACCAATCTAGGTGCTAATATGTTTGGTCCTCAACTTACATTGCTATTGCTTCACAAACTACATAATGTACTTGGTTTTAGCTTACAAAGGTTGAATTCTAAATCCGCCATTGGTTGGAGTTTGTGTTAATGTTATATGTTTGATAATCTAATTTCTTTAAGTATGAATTTATGCATAGGGATGGCAACAGGATGGGAAGCCCGCCAACTGTGGGGACAGGGACCCCAATGGGGAACTTTATTGGCCAAATCCTTCCCCCTTTCTTCACCATCCCCATTATGCTCCTAAAAAACATATTGCAAATTGATATACCCTTTTGGCCTTTCCTAAAGAGAGAACATCCTGTAGTTTTTTAAAAGTGATCCTCATAAAATAAACATAACTGAAGTTTAAAATGAACTGGGTTCTTGAACGAGTTAGGATTTACTATCTATGCAAATTCCTCATTCTGGCCAGGATTCAGGCAGGGAAAATTGCCCACGAAGTTTGTGGGGAGAATTTCCCCATCCCAACCCTGACAAGAGGAATACTGGGGCACAGACACGTGGGGTTTGCAGGGGACAGGATTATTGCCATCCCTATTTATGTAGATTTTGACTTGAATTTCTACCATTCTTAATATTAAAGCATAAACATGCCTTCCTTAGATATGGGTGCCCGAGCATGGAGGAGCTTGAGAGTTATTGCCGAGAATATAGGACAAAATTAGATGAAGCCGGAACACTTGGAGAAATACCAGATGATCTGGCTGTTGAGGTAATAAATTCCTTTATCTTCTTATTTGCTACTGTCATGAAATGGTAGATAATTTTGTTTCTTAAAGAAAGATGTTATTGTTTCAAAGGTATCATCTCCAGGTGCAGAGAGGATACTAAAGGTACCTGATGATTTGTCTCGGTTCAAAGATATGCCCATGACAGTATGCTACGAGGATACAGAGTCTAATTGTCCAGAAAAAAGTGGAGTGTTTATGGTGGACTCAATTGAAACAGAAGCAGGCATCTGTGTATGGAAGTTGGCAAATGTGAAGGAAAATAGGGACCCTGAAAGCAAAGGGAGACCTTTAACTCGTAAACAGAAGGAGTGGAGATTAAAATTGCCTTTCGCGGAGCACAGGAAGATAACACTGTACCTTGAGTACTGACAAGGAAGACAGTAGAATTTCATTCATATTTCTAGATTTTTGTTAGAGAAAGTTTGGCAAGAGATGTGGAATTTGTGTGGCATCTGGCGACTGTAGAATTGATATTTTGTTGACTCTAGTAGATCACAGAAATTCTCGATTCCAGCTTACATCATACTTGGTCTCCATTAAAATTAGATAGTTCATGCATAGAAAATTTTAAAAATGCTTGGTACGTTAAAGAAAACAAAATTCTTGCATTCAGATGACTAGGATGTTATAACGAGTTTTTAGTTATTCAAGATGTTTTGCAAGGCAGCACTTTACACTAGCGCACAGTACAGGACTGTAAAGATTATAACTAAATTCAAATGTGCATTGTTGGGAGGTAATTGAAACGATTTTAAAGTAAAATTTTCTTTCTCTATTATTATAAATCAAACATACTTGAAGAAGAAGAAGAAGAAGAAGAAGAAGAAGAAGCTGAAGCCTCCATTTTCATTTTGATTCTTTTGTTTTGACATGCTCAATGTTATACTTTTTTTGGTCTTCCAATTTTGTAGCATCATCACCGTACTTTTCAACCATGGTACGGACAATGGAATTGAACATGTTAGTCCCCCACACGGTTTACCTTTTAAAAAATAAATAAATAAAATTACATATTTTAATGGACTTAATGATGTAAAATCTAAATTTAAAAAAAAATATTAGTTACACATAACTTTTAAAAGATTGCATTGGTGTTTTATATAACAATTCCATTTTGCAGTACTCTATCTCAGATTACAAAATCAAGATTGTCAGCTGCAGAGGGCTAACGCTGCATTCAAGGGCGCCGGCCCCATGGCGTGTTTTTCTACATGCTCATTTTCCTACCTTTGACCCTTGAACAAGGTAACCATATGACCATCCACACCAAGTTTTTATGTACTCACAGATGTTGAGCTCTCCAATCAACTGCAAAATTCCCCTCAGTGTCACTATCGCTGGATGACTCTTCATCTGAAGAATCCTTGCAATGAACCTTAGCTTGTTTGGCCAACCTAGCAGCCTCAAATTCAAGTTTCCTCTTCCTCAACCTTTCCACCCTCTCCCCGTAAGCCCTACAACAAGAAAATATTGATGGAAATCGTTAGCCATGTTGTTTTAACAATGCAAGAAATGAAAAAACAGTCCAGAATCAGACGACAACATAGTTTAATCACAAGAAACTTACTTTTGCTCCAATGATTCGGCCTCTTCTATCATTTCAGCAGCATCAATCTACAGTTTACAGTTGCAACAACAAATCAGCAATGCAAGTATACAGCATGGGCTTAAAACCTCAAGGCTTACTAAAAGAATCTTTACAATGATAGACAAAAGATAAAAAAAAACAAAAAATCCAACCTCTTCTTCTTCCATGCGGGCATCCACCTCTTGCAAGTCCTCTTGGATCAACTTTTCAAATTCCTTATACTCATCTCTGTTCAGGATGACAACAGACATAAGTGATACAAAAAAAAAAAATCCACCACACAAGATAAAACACATTACCAGTAAAGTAAAAATCTTAGAATCTATAGAGTAGATTGTGATGCAAAACTTATGAAGCTTTAAATTAATAAGATAAATTATATAAGAAAATAAGTAATAAAACAATGTAATGCTAGCTACTATTCTAATTGAGGGAAAAAGAAAACTTAAAGAGGAAATTATCAGAATATTGTATCAGAGACAAGATGTAACAAAGATACAGGCACTTCTCAGAATGCAGAAATGAATCATTGCATGCGTTGATAGTTTTAAATATGTATCAATTATCAACAAAATCATAAAATCCCCACAGCCAAAAGAACCTTTTCTTCAGCAAATTGCATGATTATCATTAATTAATTTTAGAACCATAATTAACAATTCATTAACATCAATTCTGGAAACCTCAGCAGTAATTGCAAAAGCATGATCCATTATCCTACCGGTCATTTATTATTATCCTAAAAATGGTACTTCACAATGATTCCTCCAGACACTTACCAACCAACCCATTTGCAGGAGCACTAAAAAAAGAGGCCAACACAAAAGTTAATTAGACATTAGAAAGTGTAAAATCAGCTAAGCTTTTTCACTGCTTATAATGATTGTGGTAACCAAGTTACTTATTCTGATATCTACCACAGACTTAGAAAATATACTTGTCATTTGGATGCAAGAATTCAAACAAACTTTACAAACCATTCAACCGCTTATCTGCCATTACTTCTTTAGGACCTATGCCTAACAGATCTTTCATAATGATACACATCCACCCAGGTCAATATCAACAATAAGTAACAAGCTGCAGCTTGACCTTGATCAATCAGACAACAATTATAATCGCTGATCCACTCACAGCACCAGCACTGTAGTATGCCTAGCAACTAGATCCACTGAGATGAATCAGCCAAGAAGTTGTCTCAATTGAGAAAGATGATGATAACGATGGTCATGATGGAAAGCTGGATACAGCATATTTGTGGCCCTCCAAAAAGTATTACATTTTTCTAAATGAAGTTTATCGGAGCCCTCCCTCCCAGTGTTTATTTTATTGAATTACATATTAAAGAGAAAAAGAAAGGTGAATCAGGCAGAGAATTCTTTCAAGTACTCTTGTGCCATACCACGTAGGAAACTATAATGTAAATCACAATTAGAGGACAGCACAGTAGCAGCTAATATTTCAATATTATTGCCTAGGAAAAATGGATTCCAAGTTTAAATGAAACATGAAGAATAGAAACTTACTTCACATCTATCTTAACAGGCTTAATGCCACGAGCACGTAAATCAGCTTCCTTGTTATCAAAGAATCCTTCAGGAGGAGCTCCCTTTGCTTGCTTGGTTTCTGGAGGAGCAGCTGGCTGTGATGCCTGTGCAAGCCCTCTGGCAGGCTTGGTGTCATTAGCAGGCAAGTGCGCTTCACCCTTATCAAAGAAGCCTTCAGGGAGACCTTTCTTTACGCTCTCCATTTCAGTAACAGCAACTGGAGTTGATCTCTGCACATGCTGTTTAGAATGAATCTTTTTCTTCTGTGTAACACCACTACCAGTCAATCCACCCATGTCATTCTCCATCTCTGCATGTGATGTTTCTACAAAACGAGTTTGAGTAGAAAATTTGTACGAATTATGATCAAGTAATTTGAAAATGCCTCACTGGGGCGTATCTGATATCTCTCACAGTAATACATTCAAGATTAAATAGTTAGCATTTATATTCAACAAAACAATATTGCAAGAAATTACAAGAATAGGCAATACATCCATATGCCTAAAGCTGAGGCAACATTGAAGTGAACTATGAATCTTCATGTGCAAGGCACCATATGCATTCTAATATTTTGAATGAGGGGACAACTCAACTTCAACATATGTAATTCCAACGAGAGTTTGACGGCAATAAAAGCAAGTTTGGTTACCAATTTTCTGCCCCTCTGTCCCTTGACTATCGAAAATATCCAGAGACTGCCTAGATGAGTGAGCTTTGGAAGATTTTGTTAAAGGGTCATTTTTCACATTTTGCACCATGGCACTTTCAACAGGTTTAGGCGACACAACATCAGGCTCAGATCTAACACTGATTGTTTGTGTCCGTCCAGCTGCAGTAGCTTTTAACTTATCAATTGCCTGTTCCAAAATAAGACTCTCATTATTAAATACTTGCTTAAAGGAGCAAAGAAATCATAATGTATAAACTTTAAACAATGAAAGATGTAGTTAGGAGTAGATCTTCTTGCTCAAATAAGCATTTATCAAAACAAACATGAAAATAAAACATGCAAAACTACAAGAAGAAATTCAAATTTCAGGGGAAAAAAACGCAGGGAAAACTGCAGTCCGCAACAAACCCAACTCTTTTTTTCCAATCTTTCACAAAATGACCAATTTGCTCACAAATAGAACAATCAAATATGAATAACTTAAGAAAGACTCTACCTAAGCAAACCACCATATATTTCAAATTGAAAAGTATTAGGAAAGGACCTAAATATTTACTGCACTTAGACAGATATTTAAGATCAAGAAAAGAAAAATATCAATCCCAACAAATTATAGTTATATACATGATCTCATTTGGAAACTACACTCCATTTTTTCAACCAAAATTTCATTTGGAAAATAAAACATCACCTCGCGATGTTTACGAGAAGCTTGGTGTGCATCCCAATTGGATTCAGATTTCAAAACAACATCACAGATTCGACATACTGGTTGATCAAATTCATTATACCTGTAAAAAGAAAGGAGAAGAAAAGAAAATTCAAGCAGAAGAATAAAGAAATAAACACATAATGAACTTCAAACACTGTTATAGCAGCTTAGCAACGAAGCTTTAAGGGTAGGGGTGAGCATAATTGGGTTATAATTTTAAGGTAAATTGGTAAGAGAAAGTAACAAATAGTGAGAGGTGTTATCAGATATTCTCACCTTATTATCCATTGTTAGAAGAAAATTGATAAAAGAAAGTGATAGGTTTCCAAATATCATAACTCTCTCAATAATTCACTTTATAGTCATATGGTTTGACCTTGAAATAGGTATTCCATCCAACCAAACCAGCCAATAGAGCATCATGAGGCAAATATTGTATTGTATTGAAATGGTGCTAAGATTGAGGGGATTCTTAAAAATTACAGTAGCTATGAAACACACATAAGGCATTTTTCTCCTAGAAGTAGTGGATATTTCGCACATACACAAACATAAACCCTATGTGCAGATATTGCTGATTTCCTACCTCCAAACATACACAGAAAAGTTCAGTTCCCTACTACAATGTTTTTCTCTATAGTTCCCTATTACCATTATTACTCAAGTTCCACACTGACCAACTTCCACACTTCGTTCTACAAGAAGTATTTAAAAAAAAAAAAACACCTCCTAACCCAGGATCTAATTTCATGTATGCAAATAGAGATAGTAAGTTTACCTGACAAGAGGGGAGTCAATGCGCTTTTCCTTCTTCTGGGCATTTAATTTAGCTCGAAACAAGGCTTTGTTCCTAGCTTGAGCATCCATTCTCTTGTTCTTATTGCTCTATACTGCTGGGGAAAACAATTGAATGATTGAATCCCCCATCATCAACAACATTCATACAGATTACAGATATTCATACAAGACACAACCTCAAATTGACATGCCCCTGACTCCTGCTATAAATCCCAATTAACAAAACAAGCATCTAATATACAGAACAGAGAATGGAACCATCAACCCATTAACCCAATACGTAGATTAATGAACTGCTATGCAGCAACCCACCTCTCCCCCACCATTAAAAACCTAAAAGGCAGCAAAACTAAATACCTAGCTGGAACAGGAACAGGGAAAGAAAACCCCTGCAGTTTCGCATGATAATGGGAAATCAAACAAATACCAGCAAAGATTTAGTTAACCTACCGAATTACTTTCTTCAAGCCCAGTGATTATCGTCCGCTGCGGCGATTTCCTTCCCCGCTCCGGCGATTTTTTCTCCTCGTTCTCTCCTTCCAATTTCAAGCCCAGTGAAGTGATTTTTTTTAAAGGAGACGACATTTCGAGTTCGGGTCGGCTAAAGACCCGAGTTTGGATTGGCTAATCCGGGCTACTAAAATGCGGACAACGGTTGTGGTTGGGGCTGGGTTTCACACATTTTCACACAATACCGTTCTAAAATTAAAAGTAGTAAATTATTATGTTTTTTTTTTTTATATTAAATTATTATGATTAAATTAATTTTAATTAATATTTTATATAATTTAATAATTACATTTGTATATGACATTTTTTTAAAATGTTGCATTTGGAGTTGCCTTCCACATACTTTTTCAGACAACACCTCATAAAAATATTAAATTATTATGATTAAATTAATTTTAATTAATATTTTACATAATTTAATAATAATATTAATGATGTGCGACACTTTTTTAAAATAATTGTTATCAAATTATTAAATGAGCATGTAAAAAATGAAGACATGTTGATATTAAAATTATCAAAATATTTAATCACAACTATCATTTAAGTAGGGTACAATCATTATTTGAGTGAGACCTTACTTAAATGATAATTGTGATTGAATGTCTTAATTATTTTAATATTAAGACATTTTGATTTTTACTTTTTTATTGTTAAATAATAAAATAAATTTGATAATAGTATAATACTCACAAACCCAATGCTATACAATAATACCTTTAAAGTATGTTTAGTTCAGCTTTCAAGTGCTTAAACTTTTTGACATTATTTTTGTTTCATAAATTTAAAATTTTTTTAAAAAAACTTACATTTTTTAACTTTTTTTTTTAATTTTTGAAAAACTTCAAATAGTAAAAGTTCAAAAGTTTTAAATCCAAACTTTTCATTAATTTTTTTTATTTACTTTTTACTCATTTTTATCCTATATCTAAAAGCAACTTTCAAATTTTTTTTCTCATAAAAATTTAAATTTATCGCTCATAAATAATATAAAAAAATAAAAACTCTTACAAGTTAACCCAAACATGTTTAAATTTGCTTTGGATTGGACGTAGTAGGCCAGAGTTTTCACGGGTTGCTGGGTTTTGAATGGGTTTGAGCTGAGGTATTTAACCTTGCAAACTTTGGGCATTTATGTTTTGGGTTCTATACTTCTATTTCCAGATGAGTTGTGCAGCATTGAGCTCATGAATTTTGCCATTTTGTATAATCGATTCCTTTTTGGTGCCTTTTGCATATCTTTAAGTAAGGTTTCTGGAAGATCATGTTGGAATTGAGTTCCCAATTTGCATAAATTGCACTTTCGAATCCTAAAAGCAAACCAGAAATTGCACTCGTGGGGAACCTCTATGATCTAGGCTTTATCATCGGTAACTAATCAACTATAATAATTGAACATTTTTCAAACAAAAGTTACTCAATTCTTAAAAACAAGAGAAAATATATTGAAAATAATTAAATTGGGTATGAAATCAAAGTGAACTTTTTACATAATACAATAAATGAATTAATATATATTTATTTAATATTACATTATATATTATGGATAAAATAATAAATAAGACTAAAATTTGGAACCAAAATTTAGAACCAATAATAGAGTATAAGTTATATCATTTAAACTATTAAAAAGTAGATTCTATATAATTTAATTATGGATTTTTCTAATATGTGCCTTAAGGCACAAGTTAAAAGTATTTTTTTATAATAAATGTGTATAGAAAATATGAAAATTGATATCAATTTTTATATCATATGAATTTAATTAAATAATTGATAAATTAAAAGTTAATTTTTATTTTTTTAATGTAAATATATGACAAATATATATTTAATATACTCTTAAAATATAGATTAGATAAATTCTTTAATTATTAGCTTTTTTTTTTTTTTTTAACTCGTAATAAGTTTGGCCCATTCTACTGATTCTGAACATTGGGCTACTATTATATTATCCGATAAAAAAAGAAAGAAAAAAAGATATGGGACCATTAATGTAAAGAAGAAAAAACATGGTATGAAACCGAAACAAATAAGCATAAACACAGGGGCTTCCGACAAAAATCCAAAGATCCCACATTCGAAAATTTGACCGTTGGGGCCCGTTCCTGCCAATTAACGGTTAACATTTTAAAAAACAACTCCCTCTCCCTTCCTTTCCATTTCTCGCTTCGGGAAAACCAGAAGCCAATTCCTCAGAAAATCCAAAACATTGAAAGAGTAATTCATCCGCCACACATACAATGGGCTGCGTTTCTTCAAAGCTCGTAAAGAAAGAGATCAAGCGGGATATCCTCCTCAACAATGGCGGCGACTGCGTCAACCACGTCGTCTCTCTCACTTCTAGCACGTATGGGGTGCTCAAACTCGAGAATGAAAATCAGAACCAGCCCATCAAGGAGATTGTTGCAGAAGCAAAGGAAGTGCAGAGATCGCCTCCGAGAGAAGTGCCAGAGGTTATTAATGCGTGGGAACTTATGGAGGATCTCGAAGATGGAATAACCATTTGGAATCAAGCAAGGAAAAGCCCCAAATCGCGTGTTTGTATTCGTGGGTTTGCGGAGAAGGATGTGAGAAGTCCTTTGAAGTTCTTGAGTCGGAGTGGGTCGCCGAAAAAAGTGAAGAGATTTGGAGGGAAGGAAAACAGGGGAGTCGGTAATGGGAATCGGAAATTAGATTTTAGTCCGAAGTCGATCTTGAAAGTGAACAACTCTTCGGATAATCCGTTTAAGGCAGTGTTGAGTATGGGTTTTCCGGTTAAAAGCACGAAAGGGGAAAGTTTCAACGGCGACTCGGAGTTTTCATCGCGGAGGAAGAGCTTCAGTCCCCTGTTTGATCCAGAGTTGGTTGCCTTATATGAGAAAGAGTTGTCTGAAGAAGAGGAGCACATCAAGATGGTGATTTCACCAGTAACTGATATCCGAAACCAGAGAAAATCCCAAGATTCAGAGGCTGTTCTCCAACTGTTCGACAAAATGTGTCCTCCAGGAGGCGAAAACGCTGTAGTGATATACACCACCACGCTGCGAGGGATCCGAAAGACCTTCGAGGATTGCAACACTGTAAGATCCATTCTCGAGTCCCATTGCATCCAGATCTTTGAGCGGGATATATCCATGGATTCAGGGTTTAAGGAGGAACTAAGGAGGTTAATGGGCACAAAAGAGGTCAAAGTTCCAATTTTGTTTGTGAAAGGAAGGTTGATTGGGGGAGTTGAGGAAGTGGTGAAGATGGAGGAAGAAGGCAAATTGGGAATTTTGTTCAACGGGATACCGAA